CTAGACTAGCAGCTAACCTAGACTAGCAGCTAACCTAAACTAGCAGCTAACCTAGACTAGCAGCTAACCTAAACTAGCAGCTAACCTAGACTAGCAGCTAACCTAGACTAGCAGCTAACCTAGACTAGCAGCTAACCTAGACTAACAGATAGGTAGCAGCTAACCTAGACTAACAGATAGCCTAGACTAACAGATAGCCTAGACTAACAGATAGCCTAGACTAACAGATACCCTAGACTAACAGCTAACCTAGAGTAGCAGCTAACCTAGACTAACATATAGCCTAGACTAGCAGCTAACCTAGACTAGCAGCTAACCTAGACTAGCAGCTAACCTAGACTAACAGATAGCCTAGACTAGCAGCTAACCTAAACTAGCAGCTAACCTAGACTAGCAGCTAACCTAAACTAGCAGCTAACCTAGACTAGCAGCTAACCTAGACTAACAGATAGCCTAGAGTAGCAGCTAACCTAGACTAACAGATAGCCTAGACTAACAGCTAACCTAGAGTAGCAGCTAACCTAGACTAACAGATAGCCTAGACTAGCAGCTAACCTAGACTAGCAGCTAACCTAGACTAGCAGCTTACCTAGAATAGCAGCTAACCTAGACTAACAGCTAACCTAGACTAGCAGCTAACCTAGACTAGCAGCTAACTTTAGCCATTGTTATCAACTGGAAGCAAGTTTAACCTTTACCACCATATAGAGCCATCAGGCCAACCCACACTCATAATTATGCACTCTGTTTAGGCTCTATATTTTATCAGTTACCCAAATTTTTAATTTGACACTGAAATCCCTTCAAATTTGAAAAGACTTTTCCAAATTCAAAGTCGGGCAAATCCATTACACAAAATCAACAGTTTAAGGGTAACAAACCTATAACAATTTACACATTTATACTTAAACCACACTTACCATTCATTTCTGCACTGTTTCTAAAATCCATATTTGTAATAGCCTCGTTCAAACTTTTTCTCTTATCTTTTCCAGTCTCTACTTTACATATTTTAACATAAAACTCATAAATTAAACATTCTTATTCTCTCTCATCTAAATGCCAATTCTTCCTTTTGATATATATTTCAATACATTACATAAAAATTGGATCAAATCTCTATTGAACAAGACACCTTGTATAGAGTCCTAATAGTGTTATATACAAATATTCTTCAACAACGTTTTACAAAACAATGCAAATTTTTCACAAAATGTCCGAAACTTAACTCCCAATATTTACAATATTTTACCAGATAATAGGGGGGTGTTTACTGTTTCTTACTATCGCCCTCATTCATGCCGTTAATCCATTATTTGCAATACATTGATTAATGTGCCGGGTAAGAGGTCATATCATCAAATTCATAAATGTCATAAATTTATTTCCCTCTCCAAATTTTTTTTTTATAGCATTTGTACACAATTATCAAACTTTTTATTATAGCGTTTTAGATTGTAGCATTCAATATAAGGTACTGGGTAGTAGGGTGATATTGAAACAAATAAATCATCTTTAATGTGTCAAATAATTGTTCATGCAAACAGATGTTTATAAAACTATGCTTGAAAAATCATTAAGATAAGTGTACTTTAATTGAACCTTACTTACACATGTTCTTATTTTTCTTATTAAATGTGACATATGTTATTGTGAAAGTCACTAAGTGGTACAAATAAACTGCAAAGTGAAATTTGATCTATGACTTGACAAATAAATATAATTTAAAACAAACAGGAAAACTGGCCTACCATTAGACTTGACCAATTTTTTAGCAAATCAAATTTTTTGTCTTTTCTTTCATTTACTAGTATACCTTAGATGGCTTACTATAAAGCTGGCAATAATAACTTTGAACCCTAAACCTTCAGGGGGTGACTGCAGGGTTTTTTCTATCATCACTTTGGGATTATGACCCAATCCTGAGAATTGGGAACTTTTACAATGTTTTAGACAAATTGGGAAAACTGACAACATATTATATACATTAAATTAGACAAACAAATCAAATATTTGTTTAATTAATCTTTTTTTATACTTCACTCTAAAGCACATGATACAAATACAATTTTTGGCACAGTGCAGTTAAATGTAACAAAATGGCAAAAAACATCACTTATTATAGTTTCTATTCCTTGAATTGGGATTTTTCTTCTTGAAATTTGGAAAAAACATACTCTTTAGTATTGGGAACATGTCCAATATTGGTCATCAAAATGGGCCAGAAAAAAAACCCCTGAACTGATTGGAGCAAGTGCAGGCAAAGATCAGCCGACACATCTGTGCAGTCTGATCATAATCTCTATTCAGTCAGTACACAGTGTCTATTCTAGGAATTGAAAAATAGGGGTGATTTTCCCCCCTCTATTTCAAAAAAGGGGGCGATTTTCAAAATCAAGGGGTGCCAATATAAACTGCCAATGTTAAGTCATCTGCATTAAGTTTACACTGAGGCGTTCAAACGATGAAATAATTAAAACAATAATATTTATTTAAGGCAGCAGAAGTTGTCCCCCCTTAATTTTTAAACGAAAACATATTATTACAGAACTGCCGCGATTGATTATAAAGGGATTGGCAATACAAGTAATCGGCCTATCTTTCACGTCTAGATCGTAGCCAAGCTAGGAATTGCCTCATTTTTCTTGATTATTTACTACACTAAAATGGCGCCCAACTGTCAGACCTAGCACACCAGTTCCGGTCGATACGGAACATTCCGTTAATTTCCGTCAACTCGCGTAACCAATACCATACGGTACTTAATTATTATAATTAGCTTACAGTTACCTCCCTTCGGTTTTCGGTGTAAATGTAAACAAAACAACCAAATATAATGTGGGATGGAAGTTTTACGTTTTTTTTACTTTTTTTATAGATGCGCGATTTTCACGCACATGATTTTGAATTGTGCGCGATCTCTGAAATACTAGCGTGAATCGCGCAATCGCGCTCCTAGAATAGACACTGAGTACATGTTTTCAAAATATCCCTTAATAAAATGATGAATGGTTTTGTCCAGACTGAAAGATGGATAAGTCCATTCAAGATATTTAGGGTGGTAAGAATTAATTATTCTATGCCACCAGTATAGAACTCAAGCCAGCCTGCATAGAGTGTATGTGAGCTTTATAAAGCCAGTGATTTTTTGGCCGATCTAGCCCAAAATAGGTTTATTTTCCCTTAAAAATGCTAATATTGTCCTCTAAAATGCCCTGTGCACATTATTCACCAGAATCATGACTTTAAAGAGCATCTGACTTATATCAGCTAGAAGACAGACAGCTGTCCCTATAGATAGCCAATGTTATGTACCATGCATGTTAAATTGAATTGAAATTGAAAATTTTATAAAATGTGTGGGTAAATTCCATTCTCAGTTTTTGGAATTTGATTTCCCCTTTTCTGATTTATCGCGCTATATTTCCCCCTTCAGAAAGCCACAGGTTGTTTAAAATAATCACTGCATACATACAAAATAGTCTCTTATAAATGACCTTCATACAAAGTTAGCATGGTAAGGATGGGTTTATTCTTGTCCATAATGAAGTCATCTTTATTGTTATTAGGAAAAAAAATAGGCTTAATACCATAAAAGACCTTCTCTTTTTCTCTCAATAATGTTTACTATTTTACCACAAGAAATAGAGTTTATCAACATTTATACTATACTTATCAACTAATAGAAAATATAAAACTCTAACCCCTTACTACAATAGCTCAAAATACAAATGGCATTACTTGAGTTTTTACACAAATGTTTATTGTAAAAACAACTTGGTGTTTATCATTTAAAATACATAAAGTTAATGACGCCTAAAAATTGGCCATGTTTGAAAGTTTAATATAAAATATATTGATTAATTTATTTCTGACATTTGGACATTCATTCAGAGCAAAATAGTTTGCATCAATTTTAGATTACCGTACATTTCATATAAACAGAATATAACAAAATATTAAACAAAACAATTTTATACACAATCATACTGCAAGAATACCTTTGAAGAAAAAATTACTCTACGTTAATTTTTTTGCTAATATACATCTTGCTATGCATTTTTTCTTGACATTTATAATAAGTGAATCTTTGATATAATGGTTCAAGGACCTTATTGAGCATTTATTTAGGTCACTATCTTATCATTTTTTTCTTCCAAATAATGATGCCAATTAAAAATAGCCCCTCATGCGACAAAAATGTACTTAAAATGGGTAATATCCTTAAAATATGTAATATCAAAACCGTCAAAAGGTGGCGAAAGTGGTTTCTTGTTTAATACATGAATTTCGGAAAATAAGTAGTTATGTACCATTACTAAAGTGATCATAATCCTTAAAGCTAAAATATCATTTTAATATACATTACAATCGCACATCATGCTGAAAATTTATGACCAGCTTTTAAAATATCTGCAGACAGTATTTCCCATCAAATCATAGAAGATTGGTCAACATGAGCTCTTCACAACAAACGAATCACAATTAAAATGTAAATGTGACCTTGACCTTAGAGCAATACACACTTGTTAAAATTTGCACAAGTTATTTGAAAATCATAAATCTTATAACCCTGACAAGCATACTGTAGGACAGACTGATGCTTACACCAAATACGAATTTTTTCACAACTATATCAAACACACCTAATATGAGCCAAACTGAACTGGGGCAGACCACTAACACTCTAACATAATGGTTAAACAAACAAAGAACTGTAACTATCCTTATGTTCTTACCCTGTATTTCCAAATCTTATGGCTAACTCTTAATCTAAAACAGTCTGAATCAACATGACCAATATCTTTAAATTTAAAGAATTTGCAAGTTCAATGTTCATTTAATCATATCAAGCCTGGTACTAGACACAAATAGAACCACATTTCTTCTGACAGCTGCCGGCATGACTCTTGTATATAATAATGAAATGTGTCCAAGAAAAGGGTCTTAAACACACACTAAGAGTCCCCCCAACCAAATTAAAATTTATTTTTCCTTACCTATACTTTTGTCTTCTTTTTTCTTGCTTTTTGCTGTTTTTGTTGGTGAGGCAGTCTCAGATTTTTGTGATTCTTGTTTGTTCTGGTTGGATTTGTCTGCACTTGCTTTCTCCGTATTGTTGTTCTCTCCATTCGACTTTTCTTCTTGGAAACCATCAGACTCCGTACTTCCAGACATATCTCCATTTTGTTGAGATTCTTCACCATTTTCTGGGGTCTCTACATTAGATGCATCATTATTAGAATTTTCATCAAGATCACCCTCATCAGTACTTTCAGCTGGTGAATCTTCCTTACTTTTATCACCAGTTTTCTCAGCTTCACATGGAGTTATTTCACCTTTACCTATTTTATCCTCTTCTATAGGATTATTACCCTTTTCAGCATTATCATCAGCTGAATCTTCTAGCAACTTGTCAACTAACTTGTCATCATTTATATCTCCAGTAAACACTACACCGCCAGGAACTACTTTCCGCTCAAATATTGGAGACGGGTCGAAATCATCAATTTGCTTGGCAAGTTTTTCTAACCTATCAACTTTACCAGTTTCATTACCCTCTCCTTTCTCTTCATTAACACTTTCAATTCCAATCGAAACATCTCCTTCACTAGAAACATCCCCTTCAGAAGACATTTGATCAGACTCCTTTTTGGACATAGAAGAATCGAAATTGTTCGAAACAGTTTCACTTTGACCTTTCTTATTGAAGGACTCCTTGGAAGAAGTTGAAAGGTCAATTAGAGGTATATCATCTACAGAGGAGCCTAACTCCTTATCCTGATTCTCTGAACTACTGACCTTGACCTCTGACTTTGCATGAATTTCACCTAGAGTATCAACCAATACAGTCCATTAGAACAGATTGTCCATCAAACCAAACCCATGCAAACACTTCAGTCCATGCAAAAACATATCATCCTTATAAGTCAAACAAGGGACATGTGTCACAAAAATCCACATAAACTTAATTAAAGCTGTAATTAAACAGATTAACTACTAATCATACGCTTGTATTATACCAAAACAAAAATCAAACAGAACCAGGCATTTTATCAAAATAAAAAGGAACTCCTCTATTCAACACTGTGGCTCAAAAACCCACACAAACCAACAAAGTAAAACAATAATCACAAATAAAGCATCATTTTCCAAGCACATAAATTCCTTTAAATTTATCAACCTTGAATAAACAAGTGGGTTAATGTTAAATGTTGAAGAAAAAAATCTAACCAGATAGTACTTGTTTTATCACACACTCATGCAGGTTAAGTAGATATCACAGGTTTTAAACTGTTACAGAACTTCCAGGAACTATTACAGTTAAATCGAACATATTTTGTATAATTTTATATCAAATACCTGTGTTTATTGATTCAATGAATTAATTTTAATGTATGTACCTGAATCTAGATTCTAAGATAAGAGACCATGAACTTTACATATTTTCTTTTTTTTTGGTTGGAATTTTACATTGGACCAACACAGTATAGGTCATATGGCAACTTTCCAGTTTTACTAGTGAATCTGTGCATTTTTTCAGATTCAAATGGGTACCAAAGTAGAACCACCCATTTTTCATATTAAAGCTAGCTTCCTCACATAAAAGAATTCAAAGTCACTGTCAGGATTCATACCCACAGCGGAAAGGGGCAAGTGCTTTTAAGTCAGAAACCTTATCTACTAAATCACAAAGCTCCAACTTTAAGTCATTATTTTTCACTTGTTAATATCAGGTAAAGAAGAAGAAAAATCCTTGACATTGGAGGAATAACTTACAAAAATTATGGATTGCTTTTTACAAATGCTTAAATATGGAGATGTGGCCTAGTGGTAAAGGTGACTACCAATCAACCCAGGGATTGTGGGTTCATGCCCAGCTAGACTAACAATCAACACAGGGATCCAACTAGGGTAACCAACCCTGGGATTGCGGGTACTTTGCCCAGCTACAGTAACAATCAACCCAAGGAGCCAACTAAAGTAACAAACAACCCTGGGATTGTGGGTTCTAGCCCAACTGGAGTAACAACCAACCCAGGGAATGTGGGTTCTAGCCCAACTGGAGTAACAACCAACCCTGGGATTGTGGTTCTAGCCCAACTGGAGTAACAACCAAACCTGGATTGTGGGTTCTAGCCCAACTGGAGTAACAACCAACCCAGGGATTGTGGGTTCTAGCCCAACTGGAGTAACAACCAACCCAGGGATTGTGGGTTCTAGCCCAACTGGAGTAACAACCAACCCTGGGATTGTGGGTTCTAGCCCAACTGGAGTAACAACCAACCCTGGGATTGTGGGTTGGAGCCCAACTAGAGTAACAACCAACCCTGGGATTGTGGTTGGAGCCCAACTAGAGTAACAACCAACCCTGGTATTGTGGGTTCTAGCCAACTGGAGTAACAACCAACCCAGGGATTGTGGGTTCTAGCCCAACTGGAGTAACAACCAACCCTGGATTGTGGGTTCTAGCCCAACTGGAGTAACAACCAACCCTGGATTGTGGGTTCTAGCCCAACTGGAGTAACAACCAACCCTGGGATTGTGGGTTGGAGCCCAACTAGAGTAACAACCAACCCTGGATTGTGGGTTGGAGCCCAACTGGAGTAACAACCAACCCTGGATTGTGGGTTGGAGCCCAACTGGAGTAACAACCAACCCTGGGATTGTGGGTTGGAGCCCAACTAGTGTAATAACCACATTTCCTCATATAACACCAGTACTGGTTAGTTCCAGGAAGATGACTTGAGACTGGCACCTTTAATAAGCTTAATATATTTTTTCACAAATATACTAATGAAAGAAACCACTACAGTGGATATGACATTCCCCCTCCCCAACCCCCTGACAGTTAAGACAAAATATAGCCTTTTGCCCACTTACAGCAATTACAACACACATATGCCACAAATATATACTCAGATCGGTCCATACAATGGTGAAATATTATCTTTCTTATGTTGGCAGTTTAATTTAAGTATTAAAATATTGCAATTACTACTATTGGACACCTCTTATGTATTTAACTCAAAACAAGTTATAAGTTAGGGGAGCCGTGGCCTCATGGTTATTAAAGTTGTCTGCCTCTTAGCCTAGAGATGATGGGTTCGAGCCCTCATCGGGTCACAACCATGTTTCTTCATATGACACCAGTACTGGTTGGTTCCAGGAAGTGGACTCGAAAGTGATTAATATAAGTTGCAAGAACTTGTTTCACAATCAAGCTTGAAATAATATGTTTAAGCCAGACTAAAGTTCATTACTAGTCAAATTAAGATATACATTATACTTATCTTTATATAGATTTTATGAACTTATCATATTCTGCAATTTAAAACTCAATTCCTGCACATAAATGCAATGCAATTTTTTTTTTTAACTTGGTTCCTGGAAAGATTTATCATCATCCAACTTATAGCCAATTTTCGTAATATCAAATGTATTGGAAAACTTCAATTCTTTTACGTTTAACAGACAAGACTCCTTACTTGCAAAAATATGGGAAAATCATTATGTAATAAAGTTTCAAACGCTCTCACAAAAGCATTAAACAACGAAAAATCCTTGAAAACAAATACCTTATCTCTATACAGTGAACAATTGAATGCCAGACATAATTTCCCTGCATGCAAAAATTTCAAAAACTGCCGATATTTCTCTTTTAAATGCCGCCAAACTCATCACTGTCATATTAAACAGTGGAATAAGAGGCTGTTTCCAAAACTCTTTAGAACAAACATTAATTACTTAAACAAACATATTTCGATGCCAAAATCTCTGCTTTTCAAACTCTTTATAAAAACTTCAAACTAGGGAAATGAATCACTTAGAATTGTAATTAGTGAAACAAAAAACACACAGAGGGTATCTCGTTCCCCATTCATCAATATGCGAATAATGAAATCATCATATTTCATGCTTGCTGCCAAATAAAATGTGATGTCACTCCATAGCACATGCTGTCTGGTATAGGTAAAGGGAAGTAACTCCATGCTCTGCATTGGTCTGATGACTGTATGGGTTATCTTTTCTTTGTTACATGATGATAGTGAAATGACATGATGCATATATTGCAATAACACAATTACTACAAAAACAACATATTATTATAGAGTGATAAAATTTGCTGGAATGCTTAAGTTATGATAAGTCAATTAAATATAGCTACAGCTTTTATCTTTAATACATTTCAATTGTATTTCTTCTATCTTTATAATTGATAAGATATAAAATTGAAATGTTTCCTTTAATCTTATGGCAGACATTATCTTTTAATTTAAATAATGAAAATTATTCAATTACAACTAAAAGAATGATATTTACTTATATGCACAAAATAACATATTACTTATTGTTACATATTTATTAAACATCAAAGTAATTTTAAGTTAATTGACTTGTAAATTAGAATATATACCTATTCTCTCGTTGCCAGGCACTGGACCCGGTTGTTCAGTTGTTACATTCACAGCTTCCATGTTGGCTTCTTCCGCGGGTTCTACAGTCTGTAAGATAAGAAAATAAAACATTGACAATAATAACATTCCATTTCCAATAACATAACATTTCTTACCCACAAAATACCACGCTGTGTATTCAGTAAATAACATTATATTTTTTATGAAGACATTTTTTATAAAATTACGTAATGGAAATATCATTACAGGGAGGTGAAAACAACATGCATGGCTGAATATTTCTTAAAATAGCTTCAATTCAGGTGGGTTTTCTGGGAATATCTTTTTCAATATTGAATAAATTTTCATAAACCCCTAAAAAGATGGCACTTTCCTCGACTGTTATATCCAACTCTGTTTCATTTCTCTTATATCTTATATTATCTTTTCCAATCACACATAGTCAACTCATTCATGCACTTTGTTTACGACAATTTATCAACTGAATCACATAGTTATAAGTAGCAGCCATTGGAAGTGTTTTCTATGTAGGGGTTTATTCACTTCATGTGAGGAAAATTTATTTAGTATAAGGAAAGATATTCACAAAAAATTGAATATGTGGTGTTTTTTTTCATATTTTGTTCTGCGCATTTTAGTTTTTAAGTCACATGCATGTACCGCCAGCCTGATTACTATGAAATGTTCTATTTCATAAGCTCAATTGAAAATACATTTGTGTAATGAAAAAATATATGTTTTTCTTAAATATAAATATATATTTCTAACAAGCAAATTCGTTGAATTTATATCCCCCGCAGAGTACTGGTTATTATTAACACAACAACTGAAGACATAAGGCTTTATTTATATATTAATCATGGCATAAACTGTAATATTCTTTGAACTTGAAGCCTTGTACCTTCAAACAAGAAGAATTTTTAAGTTTTTACTATATACATATAAGGAAAATCTATGACCCCCTGGAGTGGGGCCAATTTTGACCCCAGGGCTAAAATTTGAACAATTTTGGTAGAGGACCTATAGGTTATATCATATACCAAATATCAAAGCTCTAGGCCTTGTACTTTCAGACAAGATTTTTTAATTTTGCATTTTTGAAACTCCTTTTCTGGCCCTGTGACCTACTTATGCAAACAGACCGGAACCATTTGATCAACTTTGGCAGGGGACCCACCCTAGGGGATCATTCCTGTAAAGTTTGGTTGCTGTGCAGTCATTTGTTTCTGAGGAGATATTGTTTAAAGAAATTGCTGACGACGCACGACGACGGACGGTGGGGGATCACAATAGCTCACCTAGATGTAAAAACATCTTAATCTCCAGACTTCATTGCCATTTTCAAGGCACCAAGAAGGGATCTCACAATTTTCAAATATTTTTAACTGTTATTGTAACAAATCATTGTAATTCTTCTTTAATAAAAACTAGAAATGTGTCCATAGAACACGGGTGCCCCCACCGCGCCACTGTTCTGTCAATCTTATGACTCTAGGTAAAATATTTTTTGAAAACTAAAAATCTTTTTACTAAGTAAAGGGCAAGAACTTTACAAATACTGAATAAATCCCCCAAGCAAACCCCAAGTTGAAAATTGCAAATTTATACTACTGTAATTCAAGGGCAATAACTCTAACAAAACTGAATAAAATCCACATGCAAAGTCCCAGGTTCATAGCTTCACAGTGAGGTGAATCATTATTCCTGTAATTTAGTGATGTTGATCATTATTCCTGTTAAGTTGGTCGATTCTAACTCAAGCACTCAAGGATCAAATAACAACATAATGAAACAGTTTTTACTAAGTCAAGAAAAATAACTCTACAAATACTGGATAAATCCACAAGCGAAATCCCAGCAACAAACTAAATATGCTGAGCAACTTTCCAATAAGGTTTAATGACTCTATGTCAAATCCTTTTTTGAGTTACATGCAACACATGTTTTGAAAATTGCAAACATTTTCTAAGTCAAGGCAATAACTCTAAAAATACTAAATAAATCCAGACGAAAATACCCAGGTGCACAACTACACATGCTGATCAACATTCCTGTAAAGTATCATGACTCTAGGTCAAATACTTTCTGAGTTACATGCGACACAAGTTGAAAATTGCAAAATTTTACTAAGTCAAGGGCAATAACTCTAAAAATACTAAAAATATCCAGAACGAAAATACCCAGGTGCACAACTACACATACTGATCAACATTCCTGTAAAGTTTCATGACTCTAGGTCAAATACTTTTTGAGTTACACGCGACACAAGTTGAAAATGACAAAATTTTACTAAGTCAAGGGCAATAACTCTAAAAAATACTAAAAAATATATTAGACGAAAATACCCAGGTGCACAACTATTCATACTGATCAACATTCCTGTAAAGTTTCATGACTCTAGGTCAAATACTTTTTGAGTTACATGCGACACAAGTTGAAAATTACAAAATTTTACTAAGTCAAGGGCAATAACTCTAAAAAATACTAAAATATCAGACGAAAATACCCAGGTGCACAACTTCACATGCTGATCAACATTCCCCATAAATTTCGTTGAATTCGAGCCATTAGTTGCATAGTACTACTCCGGAAAACGACAAATTCTATGTCAAGGGCAATAACTCTAAAAATACTAAAAATATCCAGACGAAAATACCCAGGTGCACAACTTCACATGCTGATCAACATTCCCATAAAGTTTCGTTGAATTCCAGCCATTAGTTGCAGAGAACTACTCCGGAAACGAAATTCGGACGGACGGACATTTATACAGTTGAGTTATCCTGAAGTATCAAATGCATGCACTACAGAGTTCATATCTCAGTTACTCTTATTTCTTAAAGCATTCAAAATTACAACAGATGTTTATTTGATCAATTCACCAGTCACCTAAATTGTTCTAAATTGCAATGCTTGTTTCTAAATAACACCAATCCCCCATATTAAATGTCCAAATTAGCAGTCAAAAATATCAAGTGACAATCAAGGAGTACAGTTGACTGTTAATGAAGTGCCTAAAAAAGTCCAGGAGAATGCCTTACATGTCCAAATATTATACTCTCTCTTAGAACATACTAGTATAATAATGTCCTTGTAAGCTGACTATTAAAATGGAATCTTGAACAAAAAAAAAATCAATCTCAATTTTATCAACAGAGTAATCTGGAAAGTATAAATCAGGGCACATGCAAACAAATCAGAACTTTACCTGTCCAAGAATTCCCCTTAAAACAGTGTGCATAGAAATAAAAATGGCCATTGTTGGTTTGTGTGTAAATAATACTGCTATACTATCTATATCTTAGATATATATCTATAGTAACCTACAGTGTGTATTCCATCATCAATGAGAAACATATATATGTACCTATAGTCATATAATAGACAATACATACATGTCAAACCATAATCTTAGTCTTATATCTCTAACATATAGGCAATGATCAATTATAAATGTCAATCAATGACTTGCTACTGATAAGCCCTGAAGAAATTATCATTTTGATTTAATTATAACATGATTATAGAGGTAAATAATATTAGAAATAAGGGTAAATTACCACCCTTAGTGAGGTAAATTACCCCCCTTTACTTGTGATATGAACTTGTCTTAATTTGAAGTCTTCCTTTGGCTAAGAAATGGGCATTTAATCAATCTTAGTTATTTTACCTTAATACAGGAATGACCACCATGAGGATGTAAAGAGTTTTATACCTCAGACTTACTACCTAATATCTTTGGAATATAAGTGCTATCATATTCATATCAAATTCCTAGTAAATGCCCCTACCTGTGGGAATAAAGGCCCCAAGCTATGGGGACAATTAAATAGTAGATTTTAAGAGTAAAAACTCCCTTTTCCCCCAAAACACCAAAACCAAAAGGTGTGGAAGCCATTAATATTACCAAAAAAATAAACATAAATTGATTTGGGAAATTTTGTCTGAGAAAAAAGATGTTGTTTTAAAATCAAAAAACTATAATCTACAGTATGAATACCATACACACACATATAGTCATATACTTAGCTAACACACCTGTCAACACATGACAAAACACACAATGTATGCATGATCTAAACATAAACATGTAAATATCATTTACTCATTCCAACATGACAAGAATCCAGGAACTACAATCAATATACTCAGTGAAACTTGTTAATATACATTTTATGTAAATATCTACAGACATACTTGCCACAAAACTATTATATAAAGTTTTGTGTTATAATGCAAAAGGCTTTTAATGTATTTCCTATTTGTTTTCTTTTGAAGTCTTGTAATTATCATAATCTTTTTTTTACCATTATAGCTCTATTCAAATTCAGAAGGTATATAACATAATAGTACATCCTTACTTTTTGTAAGATCCAAGAGCTTTTAATTAAAGAACCCATCAGCTTTTAATATTAAGATAACTATTTTGTTGTGTGTTTCTTAGCGATTTTTGTAAATGATTGTTTTAATATATATTATCAAAACACACCTGTTTTATACTATGGCGAATTAAAATACTTATTCTAGATTGCTGAAGGGTAGTGACAGCTTAGAGTTATAGGCTGTCTGCCTTTCCACCAAGAGATCATGGGTTCAATTCAACCCTTCTGGTTTTCTTCGTTTAATTCAAGGAAGCGGACTCGAGAGCGGGTGGTTAGTTTATACTAATATATTTTAGTTTGATTGTGTAGGAAGCTATAAGCTTACGAAAACAACGGCTCACCCCTGACGGGGTCTGAACTCACAAAGGATTACTAGTCTAACCCGTTTACCACTCGGCCAGGTCACCACACACAAGACTGGTTAAAACAGTGTTAGCTTTCAACAAAACTGAGCTAAAATAAGTATGTTTAAAAAACTAGAACTCCGCAAGTCGGATGTGTCGCCTTGTGAACAATATAGTTTAGGAGAAATGACCAGGACAAAAATGAAATATGAAAACTAACAAAGGGCAATAACTCAAAAAATAATAGGTGCAAAGCAGCAGTTTCTGTGCACTGCACTTCTTATCAATAAGATCAATCATTCTATGAAGTTTCAAGTCCATATCTTTTATAATTTATGAGAAATGGCCTGGACAAAAATAAAGTATGAAAATTAATAAAGGGTAATAACTCAAAAATAAGAAATGCAGAGTACCGGTTCTTGTACACTGCACTTCTGTCATCCTATGAAGTTTCATGTCAATAGCTTTCATACTTGAGGAGAAATGACCTGGACAAAAATAAAGTATGAAAATTAACAAAGGGCAATAACTCAAAAAATAAGAAATGCAGAGTACCGGTTCTTGTGCACTGCACTTCTTCTTAATGAGATCTATCATCCTATGAAGTTTCAAGTCCATAGCTTTTATACTTTTGGAGAAATGGCCCGGACAAAATTAAAGTATGAAAATTAACAAAGGGCAATAACTCAAAAAAAAAAAAAGAAATGCAGAGTACCGGTTCTTGTGCACTGCACTTCTTCTTAATGAGATCTATCATCCTATGAAGTTTCAAGTCCATAGCTTTTATCAATTCTTGTGCACTGCACTTCTTCTTAATGAGATCTATCATCCTATGAAGTTTCAAGTCCATACCGAGAAATGGCCCGGACAAAATTAAAGTATGAAAATTTACAAAGGGCAATAACCAAAAATTAAGAAGTGCAGAGTACCGGTCTTTGTGCACTGCACTTCGGGTTATTGAAAGAAGCATGCATATCAAGTTTTAAGTAAATCCGACTTATAGTGTCTGAGTTATGCTCCGGACAAGCTTTAGGGGACGCCGACAAAAGTAACCCCTGTATGTCGCCTTTTCAAGGCGGCACAAAAACTGAAATTGTTACAAAGATAGTCTCTAGTAGCTATCAAACCCTAAATCCAAGAAATATTTGAATACCAGGCCAATGACCACAAAACCCACAATCCTGCCCTTAACTTTAGAGCATTATCTGTACATTTTATCACAATTTATAAAATTTAATGTATAATTTAATTCCAACTGCCATCTTTTAATAAGAAACATTACAAACTTCTTCTAAATTATATGAAATATATAATTTTAATAACCAATTCCTTACCGTTTAACAAAACATAAGAACTATCCATCAACATATACAACTTTTAGTTTAATAAACAGGTAATTCATTATAATTATTATAATATATTATGCACTGATTTAATATATTAATTATAAAATTATTAAGCCTAAATTTGAAAGAAGCACCTGTGACTTTCATCAAGAGTTTCTGTACACTCAATAATAATAATAACAATAATTGAGCAGATCTTAATGTAACTATTACACATAGATTACATAGAACAATATAATTATCATTTACATTAACTTAAACCATCTGCTAGGCTAGATATAATACAAGATTCCATACAAAATCATAAAATACAAGATAAGATCGCAGATTTTGATAAAGGAAAATACATATTTTTTCCTTTTATCATACATGACTACATGTATATACACGTATAACAATGTTTTGCTACCATCTCACATACAGGTAAATGTATAAACTACATGTATATTCAACCTTCTTTTTATATAATTAATTAATATGGTATACACTTAAATTACATTAAATCTAAAATGTCTACATACCAAACTGAAGTAAATTCCTTAGAATACAATAGAAAACAGTGGGAATTATTCTTGCCGTCACTCTATGATTATTTAAAGACAAAGGTGACAAAATTATCATGATCAGAAAAAGGTGTTATATTTAATAATTTTAGGATGGGCAATATCGCTGGTGGAAATATACAGAATTAATAAGCATCATTGATTCTTATATAAATTTTGTGTTTCTTTAAAGGAACTCCATTCAATGAACTCCAAAAGCCTAAAAACATAAAATCTGGATTTCTTATATAGATCACCTTGGGCACTTCCATAAAGACAGATATACAAAAAACACACAGAAATAAATTGTAAATTGTATTTTTTGTGTTCTTTGCTCAGTTTTCAGTGATTTTTTTTACAAATACAGTAATTATTCTGGAAAAATGAAGTGAGCAAATGATCAGAAAATTTGCACACAAATTATTTGTCTAGATCTACATTAACCTTGAAAAATTATTTATAAGTAAAAGAAAGAGCACCGAAACACGAGGCTATCTGATTTGTACGAGGGGGCGTAGCCCCCGAGTATAAATCAGATTGCCGAGTGTTTTGGTGTTCTTTCTCTTTTGTATCATAGTCAAACATGAAAACACGTTCCCTGTTGTCACAATTTTAAACCCCGGGGAAAAGGTAACCAATGAACGAGCATCTGAATATGATATTTCTGCCGCTTTCCCTTTCTCCGCCGTCACAATATGTAAACCCCAGCAAAAATGAGCCAATCAACGGGCATGATCTGGAGTGCGGGTAACTGATACCTGCACTCCAGTTACCGCACTGTGCATGTATATGTACGATTTAACTCTGACACTTTTTCAACAGAAAGGTCCCCAAACTATGATACAATAAGTTTATAAATGATAAAGAGACCATTATAAGGAAATGCAAGTGCAGAGTTAATTCTTTTGTTGCCAGAACTATAATTGTATTATTATCAGAGGGATTTATTTATTTCTGAACATGCCTCATGCAAATGTTTGCAGAACCTATATTTTTTATGAAAAAAGGTGAAAAACGTAAATTCCAATAACATGATAAAAACCCAAAATTGAATTTTCTTTTTTAAAATATCAAAAATATAAAATCAATCAATAAATCAAATACAGTTTCAATATAATTATCCCAAAGACAGCATGTGACAAATAAAGACAAATAAATGGTACTACGAATTCCAAATTTCGGCCCACAAAAAAGTTGTGAAAAGAGAGCCAGTGGCTTCACTGTCAAAGAGAAAAACATAGATGCTACCTAGAAAGTGGCAAACAAACAATTTTCTTCAGGTTGCCTGGACAAATAAAGGGAATGCTAACAAAGTAATAATAAATTTTAACAAAAAACAAAGAGATGTTTGAAAAGAAATTTCTACAGTTAGTAACGAAAGCGAGACATTACATTATCATCTGACATCATTAGCACTAAAAGTGTCAGCATGATAATTGAAACATCTCACTTCTCTTACCAACTTTACTGTTCTGTACATACAATTATGATGTGTCTTCTTTATAAAATGCCCATTTTCTGCAGGACTATTACATGTATATGAATGAAATATGTCCATTACATCATGGCAGAATTGTTTTATTTTTGACATTTATAATTAATTAGACAAAAATCATTAAATTTTTAAAATGTGTATCCATTATTGATCGGCAGGAAAACCCGATGTATGAGCATAAACAAAAATCTGTGCCTAAAATCAAAACAGAAATGTACATAAACATTTCTTATCTTTCAAGCATTTTTTTTTTATATGTAGCAAAAACAACTAAGCTAGTACAATACTAATACTCAAAGTTGATAATAAAATATATGACAGTATCATACTTCTTGGAATGTATTAGATTTGACAATTGGTCGCCGACCATCCATGTTTTTCTTCAAACACTTTGGCCTACAACATCCACCACATCCAAACCATTTCCACATTGGGAATCAATGATTAATATGCCAAAAATCCGCAAAAACTACATTGCCAAAATAGATTTCTATGAATTTTTTCGTAGCTTTTGTTATACATTGCATTCATCAATTCAACTGAATGTTATCATTCACACAAATATCTAATTCACTTTTGTCTTTAAAATACATTCAGTAATCCAAGATTTTCAGATAATTTGAAAATGTCCTTCATTCCAAATTCCACTTAATCAATTAAACTTGGTGCAAAAAAGCCACCTGATCTTGTCAGCATTCAGGGATAATAAGCCTCGGTAAGAAACACTTCTATAACAAACAGATTGGCTCATATTATAAGCTTGGGATATGGTGCAAGATAAAAGATATTCCTACATATAATCAGCAAAGCACATGTCACTGGTTTTTTTTAGTCTCCTCTAATTATAATCATGCAAGAAATTTGGCAGCACTATGGTGGAGCTTTAGCAAAGAAAACTACGGCATAATGTCACAGACTCAAAAGATCATAGTCAACATGGCTTAACTACCTTCTATTATCATTACAGAATATATGGTAGAACTTTGACTTTTAATACACCCCTTTGTTTCCTACAATTCTTGTACATAAAGTAAGACACATCTCTATCAATATGTTTCTACAAGAGCCTGACATTTTCAGGTGCTGCAAAATAATGTATACCACATTTTACAAATAGTACAAGTCAGCTGTAATTTGTAAGCTCTATAAATAGACTGCCGCATTTTAAAGTTATGCCATCCTGGACGGACAAAGAAAGGACTCTAGCCAAATAATTTTTACTTCAGTCTTATGTATAACAATTTTAACATAATTAAGACAACACAAATTTAACATACATTGCATTAATTTTGATTCCAATTAACAAAATTAACAGAAATGTTGTCAGCAAGACACATACCCACACATTCTACTGATATGTCGGTCTATGGACATATGGACAGACGCCACAACCGAACATGGATAAATCTAAATGTCCACCTCTCAAACAATAGGGTTATAAAAACACTGAGTCTGGTTTAGATAAATTACAATTTACTATTATTTCAAAAATTGACAAATTCAAAAATTGACAAACACAACATAAGGATTCAATTGTTGAAAATTTTGTGGCCAGACTGACATAGCCTGACAGACCTCTATGTATTAGGAAGATGAATGTCTGTATTTCTCAGATTTAAATACTCGGTTTCAAGAAAAGCACTTGAGTTATCATTGACCTATCAGGGGTGGCTAAATCAATTGTCCGTATTGCTCAGGTTGACCCACAGCCTGTGCAAACAGGTAGAAATTGTCAAAAATTTACTATGTAAATATCATATTCATGGACAACTTCGACAAGTTAAGAAATGCTTCAAATAAAAACAGACAAGTAAGTGAAAATCAGATTTTGCCAGCCCTGACCTATTGGGAGTCAATGGATTCTTAAGCTACAAGACCTTTTACTAACTTCAAACTTATTCACTTCAATCTGTCACAAAAACAATTTGGTCCATGTAAATTGTCATCAAGCTACAATGCATTTTTTCTTAATTGGGAATAAAGTCTCAGAGTCACTGTCCCACTATGTATATTGGGACTTTATTGTAACCACTGGCACCAGTTTTGGCCCAAGGTGCCCCATGTTTATGTATAAGATGTAAGTCAGACTCGGTGGAAGCTGTGAGTCCTGGGCATTTGTCCTCATTTGTGACATGAAAAGATTGCATCATCAGTAGCATGATTTAGATAAATAACCAAACAGTGAAGGGCAAGGTATCTTAACCTAAATAGTACGGTGACAATTGGTGCTGAATCTCAGTGAAATTTTCATAACAGTAGAACAAATTGTGTTATATACCAAAATGACCGCAAATGTATCTTATGTCAGGAAATGGTGGCATAATTTTTCTTTATGTGGTGCGGGCTGAGAAATCCAAGATGGCGTCCAAGATGGCCGCCACAATTTGTTTATAGAAGGAAATTTTATAAGTCACATGCAGTTTTCTTATCTACAAATAACATCAATTAATGATTGCATGTTTATTACTTCTATGATAAAGTTCTTTTTAACTAAACATATTATAGCAATCAAGTTCAAAGTCAAGGTCAAGGTCATTTAAGGTCATTTGCAAAAAATCTCGCTAAAAACTTATTTTTAATTAGATATTTTCAAAAAAAAAAGTTAAAATTATTAACAACCTTATTATCAAAACAGATGTCAAAGTGATAACTAAAGTGTACAGCATTCAGCAATACCAAAATAATTGGTGTACAAATGATTTAGATTTCGGAAATTTAACATCAATCAAGGTCACTTCACTATTTTTGTATGTCCTGAAATGTGAATGTCAAATGTGGAAATTTTATAGATAATTTATTATCAAAATTTTATATGGACATACTTATTTAGTTATAAAACATAAACTAATATAGCATAAATAATATTAAAGCCAAGCCTTTGTCAAGGTAAAGGTCATAAAGGTCAAGGCCATTTGATGAAAATGATAATTCACAACAAATTAATGTTACTGATAATTTAAACATGTCTTTAAAGTAGCAAAATAAGTAGCAAGAAAAAAATTCCCTTTGGACAGGTCAGAACATATTTTCAATTTCCAAGACTGGAAACATTGTTTAAAACATTATGTAAATTTTATGTAATTGTTTCAAATGAATGCAAATTTATGTAATTTATGCAAATTGATCATAAACTGCCAACCAGCTTGTCTGTACTTCAGTACTTTGATTTGCAATTTGAACATATTTTCATTAGTTTTTGTTTATGTTTTTTTTTTTCAGTGTAAATTATGATTACTTATTAGATTTCTGAATTAAATTTAGGACCCATTAAAATGTTTTGTGCAAATTTTATTATATATTTTATTTGGTTGACTCTTGAAATCTAATAAGTGATTATTAATGAAGAAAATGTTGCTGTAATACAAACGTTTTTAGCCTTGCTCATGGGTATTGTACATTTTCCCACAAGTTATATATTTGGTCAATTCAAATGTATTTGTTTACAATGCTGAAAAACTACTTTGTAAAAACATTTTCCTTGTACATTGTCTATTTTGAGCATTTCAGGTATAGCATTTACATGTATATACTTGTAGTTAAACAAGTCTGCGATGGGATATATTATGGGAGAATATAGCCTGAATGAGATAAATATTATCCAAGGCACAAGCTCAGGGTTATGTTCATGTCAGCAATTTTTATATTCTCCCATATATTCAGTCAGCAACTTGTACATATAGTGAATTTAAATAATAACAAAAATTGTTAATGACAACAATCTAGCATTTATGGACTGTTTTCAAAGAAGTATGCATGAGAAAATGGCGTACATGATGCCTTCAGACGTTCAATGGCTAGGCTTCTAGTAATTCAAATAAAAAGTCATCATAGTGTGTAACTTCATACTATTTCTTTAGTTATAACATTTGAATTATATAAATATACCATACTAATGCAAAAAATCAAATTTTTGCACACATTAGGTAACTATCTATGCTGTAGAAACACATTGTTATTTATGTACGCTTCAGTTGTCCAGGGTACATTTTATGTACAGAATCATAATTATACAAAAGTATTTTCGAGAATTTTTTTGTATTTATTTTTTAATTTTATGTTTTGATAAAGGAATGCTATTTTTTATGAAATAATTCCTTTGGAATATCTGAGTATGATAATACTTTATATTTTCAAAGCAGGGCCATTATTTTTTGAAGAAGAAATATGATATGTCATAACGGTACTCATAATGAATGTTTTTAATGGTATTTTTAGATTTACAAGTTGCATGATTGTATTCCATAGACAAGAATAGTTTTTATGAGGACCAGAAATGCTTCCTTATTGATAGAATTCTGCTTGGAGTAAGCTGTTAACATTGCATAATTAACTGGAAATTCATTTAATCGGTCTCCATGTGTCAGGTCTATTGTAGAACATGATAATCTGGGGTCTCACAAATATCCAACAAAACAATTTGAAGCCAATTTTCCCCTTTTCTTTTATTAAAACATGTCAAGAAGCAAAGTGATTGTGAATAAAGGCAAGAATTTGATACTTTGTATATTTTGGCATGAGACCTCTTGATATTAAATGAACAATGACCTCCTCTGAGATTTTTGCAGAGCTTTCTTCAAGGTAAGCTTTGTAACAAAAACTGATAAACTTTTAAACTGAAACTTGAATTTTTGTTTTGGATGGACTAGGTTTTTGAAGGTTACTTAGATATTCTGAGGGCATGTGATTGGGTTTGTTATGGTAGACTAATGCTTCCTCAGCATCTTTTCTAGACATTCTTACAAACAGAATGCTTTCTTTACATCTTTAAAGGATGATAATTATGACCACATCATTATCCAACATGACACTAATATTCATTCTATAAACTTTGCATGCCATACAGTGAGTTGTGGTTAACTTAAGGCACTTTTATTGACCCATTTGGAAATATCTGGCATGCCAATTTAACGGGTAAATTGCAGGGACATCAGCAAGATGTTTACAAGAGTTTGATGTGGTTTGACATGGTTGAAATACTTTTCAAAAATTTACTTTGGAACTGTCTGATGGAGCTGATAACCTATTAAAATTTTAAATACTTAGTTGAGACAATATGGCTAAATCAAAGGTACACTTCAAATAATTAACTTGTCGTTGAAACTATTGAATTTGATACTATGACGGTTTTGCAGGCTCAACAACCACCCTCTTCTGAAAAAACTCAGCATATCTGTTCTGTAGAAGTTTTTTTCTTGACTCTACGATATTAGGTGACAGCAAACTATATAGCAAAACCCAGATTATGTTGTACACTAGGCATATTTATGTCTTTTTCATGAATTGTCAGCCATTCATATTTGATCTTTGTAACTTTGGTAACAAGGCTAAGGTGGCATGCATCTACACATATGGTAGATGGAAAGAAACGATATACACCTAGTACTTTATACAAAGCCGAGTGAAAGTAAGTAAAACTTGCTGTGCCTTTTTGCCAGTGTCACTGTGGATTACACTTTATGACCTTAATGATCTCAGGCAACTGTGCTTTATTATCCCTTACTGATGGAATTGGGAGGAGGATATTGTTTTGGTTTTGGTCTGCCCCCGCCCCTTCCTTAATTTTGTCTATCTGACCGTCCGAATTTTTTGTTTCTGCGCTATTTATATGCTACTACTGGATGTAATTTAATGAAACTTTATGGGAACCATCAATACCAAAAGGAGATGTGCATAAAGTTGCCTTGTTCGGGTCAGACCTTTGACACAGAGTAATGGCCCTTGATAAGTTATGCAGTATGCAT